AAATCTATGTAACCACCAGAAAAGAAACCAATCCGAGCAATCTCACAAGTTAAACTTTCCTTCATCCAGTGTTCCGGTTATTGCGTTTATTTTTTAATGCTAACTTGACTTTCATTCATCCACTTTCCGAAGGTGTTCCGGTTATTGTGTTTATTTTTTAATGCTAACTTGACTTTCATTCATCCACTTTCCGAAGGTGTTCCGGTTATTGCGTTTATTTTTTAATGCTAACTTGACTTTCATTCATCCACTTTCCGAAAGTGTTCCGGTTATTGCGTTTATTTGTTTAATGCTAACTTCCTTTTTTTCTGTTAATCCTGTATGCTTGGGAACATCATGTATGTAATTATAGCATTTCAAATAAAGCTCATCAAATACAAACATTAATTTGAGTACGCTAAATAAATTAATCATTTGATGACTGTCTGAACCTTATATAAATATGAAGTATTCATAATATGGTTAGTTTGAAAGATAATGGGCAAGAATAAGAATCTTGTCGACTTTCAAAAGAGCAAGATTATTGTTAAAGCCAATTACTTTAATTGAGCATCCTATCCAAAGACATCTTCCATTAGAATCTATTAATAATAGAGCCGAGAGGAAATCCATCTGTACTACAATATACCATGGTTTCCAACCATTGATGCCTGACTGACATTAAATGTTATTGTGTAGGTTTTTTAAAAGTGCAACGAACGTCATTATGTTCCAAATGGTAGTACATATCACCTTTATCCATTCTGAATGTAGAGTAAAAATACAAAGAAAACAGTATGAGGCATTTGGCCTATGCTAGTGTTATTAGTGCAAGAACTGTTGGAGGTGGTGTAATGGTGTGTGAAATGTTCTTGTAGCAGAAGTTCATTCTTTTGTTATTTCATTAGAAGATTAAGCAACATCCGGCATATAAACCTGCATGATATTACTGATTATGTCTATATAACCCATATTGCTGATCATATCTGTATAACCCTTATTGCTGATCATATCTATATTACCCTTATTGTTCTAAAAGTATTAGTATAAAACTATACTAAGAAAATTAGACAACTTGCTAACCTTGTTCTGAGAAGAAAGAGAGAGAGAGAGAAAAGAATAGGAGGAAAGAAAGGGATGGCTAGAGTACTTGAAAACCTAGATCGTTAATTTAGTTTTTTAAGGCCTATAATACAGTTAGTTCATCATTGAACTCAAGCTAGAACACAAAAGAAAATCGGCTTTTATACAAATGTGGTAATCTTGATTAAGATTAATCATCCGCTTATAATAGAGGATTTCTTTAGCAAGAAACGTGTAGAACAGGCTAAACCTGAGAGAAAAAGTAAAAGTACTACAGATTACTATTATAAATGGAAGATGATTATCTAAATTAAGAGACATTTAACTCAAAAAGCAAACATTCAAACTTATTAGCTGGTTTTACTGAAAAATTTTCACTGGTAGAAAACAAAGAAAAAGAGGACGTTAAGGAAGCACCATTGAAAAAAGACACAAGGGACACAACAGTAAAACCACGAATTTTAAGGATCACACTGGTGTGGTGTTCCACACTCAACTTCACACCCGTATATGATATATATGCGTATTAAATCCCAATTTTCTTAGTCCTTCTATTCGTGTGGGAAACTGCCATCAACTAATTTGTGTATCTGCTATATCATTTGTTGTTTCCCCGCTTTACTTTCATTTCTGGTCTTTCTGGTATGACAATTTTGGAATGGACAATAGAACTGTTTATTTGTTAACCATAGTTTGCAATAAATACAAGTTCTCGTGCTACATTATTGTTCATTTCCATAATTTACTTATTTTCGCCCCTCAATGACTACTATACTAGCACGTGCTTTGTCACTAATGTTTTCCTGGGAAAAAGTCTTTAAGCCTAAATAATTGTTACAATATCACGTGCCTTATTATTGTTCATTTTAAACTGAACTGTGATTCTTGAGTGAT